GGAGGAGTTGGGTGAGGAGACCCACATTCTTCTGGCAGACCTGCCCACCAGGCAGAACTTCACCTACACCACGGCGTCCCGCTTGGTGGAGCAGAAGGCCATTTTGGAGGACATCATGTCCTCCATGCCCATTCTGCCTGGGGGGCAGAGAGGTGGGCATCAGTATCACAAATTGACTGGCCCTCTTCCAGATGGTGGAGGTGCTCAAGTCTTTCCAAGAAACCACAGACATCCTGTGTGGTTATACAGCAAGCCTGGGACAGGTCATCCCCCTGATTCATGCCCTCAGTCAGTCCTTGGATGCTGCTGTGGCACCAGGATCCTCCCTCCTTCCACAGACCCGGGCTTTGGTTAAGAGGTTGCAAGCAGGTGTACGGAAGCGACTCCATCCTGTCTACAGGGACAGAGCTTACTGCATGGCCTCCCTGTGCCATCCTTGGCAGCACACACCTCAGACCTCAAGGAGCAGAGAACAGAGCTCTCTATTGAGGTCCACAAGGCATTGGGGGCATGGCACTTGCATGGGGAGATGGAAACCTCAGGCCATAAGGGGCAGGGTGGTTTGCCTGAGCCACAGGGACTTCAGCTGGTGAAGGCCCTAGTCACCATTACTGGAGCTCTGTGGTGACCTTGGCAGTTGCCGTAGAGAAAAGACAGGCGGCTGAGGAGGATTCGGCAGAGACAATGGTGCGGGAGTATCTGGCTGAGCCACCCACCCACCCCAGTCAGGTCCCGTCCATTTCTGGACTAGGAAAGTGGGCATATGGCCGGAGTTGTTCAATGTGGCCATGGACCTTCTTTCCATGCCCCCCACCAGCATCCAGAACAACCACGCGTTTTTTCATCTCGGAGACATACCGCGACCATACCGCTCACGTTGAGATCCCGTTACTGTGGAGAGACTGCTGTTCATCAAGGTGAATCTTCCCTTGTTCGGCTTCCCCTCACTGAACCCAATGACAGTCTCTCCCTTAACACACCGCTTGTCTGCACCCGCTTCTCTGCCCACCTGCCTGCCCACCCACCAGTCCTCCTGAGAAAAAACAGACCTTCCTATTTGCCTGTGGGACTGTAAACCTGCCCCTCAGTCAGAAGTCCAGCTGCTGATTCCAGTCGCCTCAGCAGGCCACATTCTGTAGAATTCCTCTCTGCTGTTGAGTCCAGTTGCCACCTCGGGCCAAGTCCTGCCTGCTGAGTCCAGTTGGCTCATTGAGTCAAGTTCTGACAAACTCCTGCCTGCTGAGTCAAGTCGGCTCACTGGGCCAAGTTCTGACCAACTCTTGCCTGCTGCTGTTTCCAGTCGGCTCATTGGGCCAAGTTCTTTCCTGCCTGTCTGCCTCCTGAGTCAAGTTGACTCATTAGGCCAAGTTCTGACCAGCTCCTGCCTGCCTCTCGTGCTGAGTCCAGTTTGGACAGAGAGGGCCACTTTGTGATCAGGATGAAAAGTGAAAACCAGGAAACTAGTAATGTTGAAAAGATTATATATCCAGTCCAGATGCTCCACTGGGCTATCTGTCTGAGTCTGATTTACATCATGGAGGAGGCTGGGCTGGAATCCTCTTTTCCCCATACACTATCATCTTCCATTTGTTCTGCTTTTATGGGAAGGTTGTTCCAACAAGCCACATTTTCCACACTGGCATTAGAAATGGTGCAACCTTGAGATCTCTAAAGCAGTGGTCCCCAACCATGAGCCTCCAGGGGTGTACTCTAAGGGCGACATTAAGTCCTGCCTGGTGAGTCCAGCCTCCTTGGGCTTTATTTCAAATTCCACAGTCTAATTTCCTGCCTTTTGCCTCAGTGCCCAATGGGTCAAAAAGCCTGCTTTGCTGCCAATTGCCGGTGTTTGTTTATAGGCACTTTTCCATAGTCATGTGGCTGGCATGACTAGACACAGAAAGCCAGCCCATTATCTTTCCACCGAGGTGGTGCCTATTCCAACATGGCCGGGGCAGCCCCACCCAAATCTGTCCAGTGTTCTCCCTCTTAAGTGTGCTGTGTGTGACATGTCCCTCCCTATCTGCAGGATCAGTATCCACTGATTCATTTATTCTGAAACATCTCAGAAATGTGTATTTATATGTATTTACATAGTGTATTTTCAAGAACTGCCGTGGCAGGGGCTCCCCTACCCCAAGTCCTGCTCCTGTTCATTCCAGTCACCTCCTTGGGCCATGTTCTCAAGCCCAGCAGCCCCTTCCAGCTTCCTCGGGCTACACCAGCCAGCCCCACCCAAACCTGTCATGGCAGGGAGCAAAAAGTCTATGTTGCTGCCTTGTGCCTCAGTGCCCACTAGAGCAAAAAGTCTATGTTGCTGCCTTGTGCCTCAGTGCCCACTAGAGCAAAAAGTCTATGTTGCTGCCTTGTGCCTCAGTGCCCACTAGAGCAAAAAGTCTATGTTGCTGCCTTGTGCCTCAGTGCCCGATGGGGCCACAGTCTACTTTGTTGCCAACTACCTTAGTGCCCGATGGGGTCAAAAAGCGTGCTTTGCTGGCAATTGCCTCAGTGGGGCCATGGTCTACTTTGCTGCTAAGTGCCTCAGTTCCTGATGGGGCCAAAAAGCCTACTTTGCTGCCAAATGCCTAATTGCCTCCTGGGGGAAACTCTACTTCACTGGCAAATGTGATGTTGCTGAAGACAAACTCAATGCCTCATACCTCTGTGTGCCTGCCAGAGACAAACCAAGCTACCTCAGTGCCAAAGACCTCTCATTCTACTGGGGCCAAATATAACTCCCTCAATGCCATGGGCTTCTGTGCCGTTTGGTAAACTATCCTGTGGGGACTCAATTTGTGGGTGAATAACTCAGATGTCCGATATCCAATCTTCACCAAACTTGGCAGGCATTTTGGGGAAAGACATAGGAAGCTTCAGTGTGATTCCGGATTCTCTAAATACCTGGGTGGAGCTTTCCTGGGGGTGTCCTCTTTGTGACTATATAACTCAGTGGTCCATTACCCAATATTCACCAAGTTCCCTGGATTTGTAGAAAACCATATGAGGAAGCTTCCCCGAAAATATGGTGTCTCTAGGTGCTTGTGGGCCAGTTTTATAGCCTTTTAAAGCAAAGACAAGTTGATTCATCAATTCATCAAAGAATATTCCTAAATTTGTATTCATTCATTTGTTAACCTTGATGAATCATGAATCAAAATGACTTGCCATTTCTTTTAATTCATCCCCATCTCGAGTCGTAACATCACTCAAATTTAGAAATATTTGATCATTCTCCTCCCAGATAAGTGGTCACAACAGAGGCTCATATTGTACTTTGTTCATGATTTAGAGAAACTGTAACAGAAATGAGAGACAGATTACACATGGCTTTACTTGGTGGTAAATTGGTTGAGAATTCCAGAAAGTAAGGAGGGATGCCATTTCATCTTATGTAACCTGTTGGGTTATATTGCTTTTTCTTGTCTTTTTTCATCTTCTTGAGTTTTGATAAATTAGCCTATGGATCAGAGAAAAGGTGGACTTATAGAAGGAAGGAAAGTGGCAAAACCTAAAAAGAGTATCATAGGATAAAGAAAAGAGGGAAGCAGGAGAATGGCCTTTCATTAACAAATCTAGTACTTTTTATGGAAACAAGAATAAATAAGAATTGTGGTTATGGATGGGTCTCAGCCATCTTACAAGAAAACCATTACTTAATTTGCTGATACAGAACTGGTACTCTAATACATGCTGGTTCATTATATCCTCAAGGTGTGTGCCCAGATTATATTTATATCTGGCCTGTTGTACATTTATATACTGGTTTTGTTTTCAGTTGACAGATGAGTTATCTATATGTTGATTACTTTCAAACATAGACTTAACCAACAGACTCAAACAGTCTACCTGACTTCCACTCTGTTCATTTTCACCTGATTTCTAGTTTCTTTAAAAACTAGAAGAAGCAACTTCCCGGGGAAGTGGGTATGCACTGGTTACCACTGGAAACCACTGCACCACATCTGGATTGCTGCTGACAGTAAGCATGTACATTTGGCTGCCACTGCCAAATTTGCTGTGAATTTTAAAGACAACTACAGTAGTTATTTATGGCACAGGAAGTTGCTATGGGGCCCTCCCATTCCTCAGAGTCCTGTGAGAAACTGAAAAGAAGGGAGCAGCTGCTGCTGTATCTGTGTCATGGACAATAGTATCAGTGGAGGTATGCCACCATGTATCAGTTGCTAGGGAACAGAGGATGGCGGATGTATTTTCAGTCATGTTCTGCTAGTGACTGGTTGTTGTATGATAGAAACGCTGGACTGAATTGGCCCTTGATCTGATCCAGCTTGACTCTTCTGAGGTTCTTACATGGTGGCAGCACTGACCACCAGTTTTGCAATGGCAGGAGGCCATAGGAAATCACAAAAAAATTCCAGATGGGTCCCCTTCCCGCTTTCTCTTTCTTTATTTCCACCCACTGAACTGCCAAAATGTTTATGTAGGTTAAAGGTAAAGGTTCCCCAGACATTTAGTCCAGCCATGTCCAACTCATTAGCACGACTAGACACGGAACGTCGTTACCGATTTATCTACTTGCATTTTTACATGCTTTCAAACTGCTAGGTTGGCAGGAGCTGGGACAAGTGACGGGAGCTCACTCCGTCGGCTGGTTTTCTGAAATTGCAGCACAGAGGATTCTGTCGTTTAACCTGCAGCGCCACCACATCCAGGTTGTGTAGGTTACAGATTCTTAAAAGGCAACGTTTGTGCTTCCTCACATTCTCTTAATTTACAGATTGGCACTTCCATTTACCTAGGGAGTTCTCAAAGTAGGCAGTAAGCACTTTTCTATTGTAGGATGGCCCTCCTTCACTTTCATATTGATAGCTACTCAAGCACCAGAGTTCTCTAATTTTTTTAAAAAAATCCCCTATGGAACGGCCACCCTTAATTAGCTCTGCAATATATGCACAAAACCACAGGAACCCAACATGACTTCAACATTTTTTAAAAGTATAAATAAAACCAGGGATCAGGCACTTGTTTGGCAGTGAACTTACCAAGCATTCCTGAAGAAGGTGGATTTGGCTGAATATCTTCAGGCGAGTTCTCCTGAAGGATGTCCCAGAGTTGCCACTGCATGTGCGGATTCAGGATATAAAAAGGTTGCTCAGGGTGCTTTTTCCGATAATGCTTGAAGCTTTCAAAAAAATTGTAATCTGGTTTTTGATACCACTGAAATTCAAAATACAAGAAAATAAATTGCAAATATTAGTGAATGCCAATAAAACTCTCTCACAAGTGGCCTTAGGCAGATATGTTGTCCATAAAGTTTTGCCCGAAACAAATCAGACCAGTATTGGCAAAACAGTGGAAGTGAAGGTAGCCTTTCAGAGGCCGGAACATTTAATTTTTTGGATTATAACTCCCATAATCCCTCATCTGCCTGGAGGATACTGAGTGTTGTAGTACCAAGAAACAACTTCTCAACATTCTACATCTTCTTGTGAGGAATGTTGATTCCTGCTGACCTGAAACAGACATGGCTGCAGCCTGCAGTTGGTTTAGACTAGGGTGTGTGTGTAAGACTCAGACAAATCCTAACTCCAGAGCTGAACTGGGCAAATCCGGACAAATTTATCTGAAGTGCAGCAAAAGTCCTTCTGAAAGTCCATGAGCAGGTAGAAATCCAGAGGGACATAGATAATGTGTCTATAAAAATGGAAACATTTCCCCTGGAGCTCTCCAAAACAAGAAAACAGCAGAATGGAGAGAGAGGAGGGTGTGTGTCATTTTATGACTGATAGTCCTAGCTTCCAATAAGGCAGCAAATTTATCAGTCCTTTCTTTTTTTTATTTGGGGGAACATATAGAAGGAAATTATTAGAGGCTATTCCTATATTTCAGGAGACAAGCAGAAGGGATTTATTAGAGGCTATTCCTATATACGTCTCCATTGAATTGCATGGGTCCAAGCAGCAGAGTTTTGGTTATACATGGATTTTTCCCCAATTAATAAATAAATATTTCAATAAATAAATTGTGGTCCAAGAGATGTGGGCTAAAACAGGTTGGTCATGGACTTTCTGCTAGTGTTGTGGTGGCCCCCAGTCCAGTGGCAGCGTCCTGGGAGCTCCCTGTGCCAGGGTGGGTGCTGGGACATGCCAAGAGGCTGATACGCGAGTCGGGGGAAGTCACAGGGAACTCATCTGTTCAATCTCTCCTCTCTGTATGTGTATATCAACTGTTTACACTATAATTACTGTAGTTTTTTGGGGGGCATAAGAATTATACAAGGATCTTGAACTACACGGGTGTTATGTGCCCCTAACCCCAGGATTGTTGAAGGGAGAAGTGTATTACTACTAAACTATGTAGCAAGAGAGACTTGGCACCCAGCAGGCAATGTTTATGGTGATTTAGTAACTTGAGGGAATTTACCTGCAAGAGCTTTATGGTGTACACTTTCACACATTTTCTTAAAAGCCTTTCATTTTCCCCACTTCTCCAAGGAAGTAGCACTTCATGTTTCTAGGTATGGAATGATTTAACACTTGAATTAAATGTTCAAGTGTTGAAACTGCTATGTTTAGCAGTTTTAATGGTATCTTGCTTCAAAGTCAACAAAGGTAGAACCATTGAGCTTCCAGACCGCTGTTGTGGTCATTATTCAAGGTGCACATCCAGATGCTCCCACAAGATGAGGGGAAGCAGAGACAGAGGAGGCGTTTTCAGTGGTGTTACTGTAAAATGTTTCAGTTAGAAAGCCCGAATGGTGCCTACGTTGTGGTCTTTTTGGTTTCAGGTGAAGTCCCTTCTATTTTCTGATGCATTTTAGGGACTATTTTTAAAGTACTTCTACATTTCAGCACTCTTGCTCAGTATGCTTATTGTCCTATTCTAGCCTCACATATAAAACATTTTGTTAACTCATGCCTAAGTCAATTTGGTTGGACTCTGAGAATTCGTTTTATGCTACTACTAAAACCTGGGAAACACAAACAAAACCTATTTATTCATGAGCAGCTCTGTAGTATTTCTGAAGGAAGAAATACAGAGGTGTGTAATATTTAGAGTTCTCATATCCTATTATGAAAAGTTTCTCAGGTTTAATACATACGTGGCAGACAGGTACAGCTTTATTTTTTTCATGTTGAGAACAGCTGTACTATTGAATGTGGCTTGAGGAAACTGCATTTTAGTCTCCTTTTGAATTAAATGCACAAATCACACATTTGGAATAAATGGAAATAGAAGTTTTAAAAAATTGGAAGAAACTGAAGCTAATAGATTTCTCTTTTCCTATACAGACTGAAATGGATGAGATATTATAATAATAAGAAAAAATGTGTGACTTGGGGAAATATCCTTCAAACTGTGCCTTTTCAGGACCAGCATTATCTCTCTGATGCATCTTCATGCACTTATTTTAAAAATTCATACAGCTCAAACTTACTTCGTGGATATTTGAGTGGTATGGTGCTGGGTCCCATACGATTAAGGTTCCAAAATTATACTGTGGATCTGAAGCAAATTTCTGTTCTTCAACAGTAATGAGCTGGGAATAATAAAAGAGATATCAATTAATGGATTTTACCTCATTTGAAATCAGAGAGATACTCTATGGCAGTGGTCCCCAACCTTGGGCCTCCAGATGTTCTTGGACTTCAACTCCCAGAAATCCTGGCCAGCAGAGGTGGGGGTGAAGGCTTCTGGGAGTTGTAGTCCAAGAACATCTGGACCACGGTTGGGGACCACTGCTCTACGGCATCACTGGATACTACCAAGAATTATGCAAGTGTGGAGAAGACTACAAGTCTCCTAATTATAGACACCAAAATTATCAAAGAGTATATTTTCTTTCAGTTCTTCCTCAATATTAAAAAAGTACAATTATAGGGGGTGAAGGAGCTACTAGGATAATGCTGTAGTGCTTACTTGGGCTGAAAGTTAAGCTAACAAGAAGGCTGACCACTATATTTTGAGTGAAGAGAACTGGAAAAGAACTGATCTGAGGTCTGAACTTCCTTGCTTTGTTGGGATACAGCTGTAATTACCACCAAAGACATTTTCCCCCACCTTCTTTTTCAGGAATTTTCCTCATTTTGGAAACCTAGGAATCCATAGATATCAATGGGGGAAAATAACATCTGTCTGCTAGACAAATTAAGGTAAGAGGAAAATGTAAAAATTCACCATATAGACAGTCAATAGCAATATAACCCCATAGACCCAGTGTACCAAGCAGACCAGCTTCTGATCAGTTTTCAGTTAGAACAGTAAGGAAGCTACACATACTCACAGAGGAAACAAAATTTATGCCTAGCCAGACAAAAACAAAACATGAGAACATGGTGGCACCTGGAGGATTAATGTCTATATTCCAATTTCAGCTTCTATGAATTAGTCCACATTGTCAGACATATTAGACTGGAGTAATAGTAAGGTACATGTGTAGGTAGACAGGCAGGGATAGGGAGAGCCAATGAAATTTGCTGGCACGAGTAATTTAACTACCACATATAAGCAGTTTTTGTGCTTCCCAAAATTTTCCTGTGAAATAGGAACTGAGATGAGAGCAAAGGCTCACTTTGTCTTCTTCGCTGCAATCCACTTACCCAGAAGTAAGCCAGATTGATGGCTCAATCAATAGTACTCCTGAATGGACATGCCTAAACATGCATTAACTAACTTTTTAAGGTAATTTTCTGTTTAAGGTGTGAAGTGTTCTGCACATGCTCACAGAAAAAAATGAAGCGGATTTTGAAGATAAAGAGAATTTTTTTGTACAATGGCTGAGTAATTGTTATAACAAGCCCAAACCTAAACAAGATTTTTTCTACTCGGCAAAGAGAAAGGGGGCATCGAGCTGAAGAGTTGGGGAGATTTAGCCTCTGCCAGTCATTTAAGGCATAGTTGTTAGCCTTCACTAATTCACTGATTTCAAAAGTTCTTTGAAACGTTTTTCTTAGTTGATCTGCTCACATACTCTGTATCTGGGAGACATGCTACAATTCTCTGAGTCTGTACTTTTTTCCTGCCCTGATGTTGGTGCTTGGAATTGTTGGTGGTTGTTGTCTTCCTGGAAACAGTCAGGGTTTGCTTTGAGCATGCTGCAGGTGTCTGGAAACCTTTTCTAACCAAAAAATGGGTTATTTTTCAACTCTTTCATTGACTGACTCCTATTGAAGATTTTGCAAAAATGTTTATCTTGATGCTTCAAGGACATTTTGTGCAATTTCTGGGAAAGTCACCTGTACTGAATATCTGCATCCTCTGCAGCCATTAAATGCACAGAAACCCTGTGAATGGACAATGTGCTAAAGAAAAAGGAATGTGGGAGTGCACAAAATGCCTTGGGCCATATATTACAGTCTGTGTTGCATGCAAACCCAACATAAACCCCACAATAAATCAACTTTGGAAAGAGTGTCTGTGAATAGGAAATTAGCAGGGGAGGGTTGCATTATTGTTCTTTTATTGGCTGGCCACCTTGTGTCCTGAATAATGAGCAAATAATTGGTGTAAAGTGCAAATAGAGCTGTTTGTATTTGGGAAACTGTTATGGCCTTACCAGAGGACTTCACCAGGCTCAAAATCCTCCAGTCCAGAATATAGTTGGGAGCTTATTAATCCTGAAAACCCTGAACTCACAGGAATAGAGGAGACTGAACTACATGAACGAAACCTCCACTGTAACTTATGCTGAGATGTTACATCCGAATTTCACTCCTGGTTCAGGGCAATTTTCAATGTGTGGTAACTCTGTTACACCTCAGTGTTGCAGAACCTGAGAGTTCCTCGTGAAACGTATGCCATTGCTCCATGAGAATGTTAGTACTTGTGCTAACTTAACTTCCTTGGAATAATTTCACTGCAACTCGCTATTTTTGATTTTTGGTATGCCAGTGCAGAATAATATTGGAAATGTTTCAGGTCACAATTTATACAAGATGGCTATGAGGTCTTAGTTAGCATTCTCCATGAACCACAACAGCACTTATGGAGATGCTCCCCCAGAACCATCTGCAATACACAATGTTTTGCAGCATAAATACCCATGTTATTTAGCAGACATGTCAATAGGGAACAAGTATCCTTGCTTGCTTGTTTGCTTGCTTTCTAGTATGACAATGAGCAAAAGACAAAATCTTGTGACACAGCAGGAGCATAGGTTGATGTAGGGTACTTTTAAGTGGCAAGGGGGTTGTCCTGTTCACCTTCCAGAGTTTCTGCATATTGCAGACAAAGGGCAGTTTCTCATGAACTTTCTTGAGCAAATGTGCTTATCCGTTAACTCAACTGCCTCATTAATATCCTGTCCACAGATACATCTGGCTATTTTTAGCTGAGCAGTCAGCAGCAGTACTACAGCAGTTTCAGATGCCTGCTCCGGGGGGGGGGCTTTCTGCTCTTCATCAGCTGCCACTTAACTGCTACCAGGTTTACTCATCCTGTTCAGTTATGCTGCTCCTAATGAACTGCATGTTTTATAGGCTACTCCATTGCTTATGCTTTGACCGCCCTGCTAATTCCCGCTTAACTGCCTCCGTGATCCGTTCTGTATACACTAGCACACTCTGATTAATGAATATTGCAGTATTTCCATAGGGTAGCCTGCTTCAGCATGATCAACTAATTTTCACTTCAGTCTTAATTTAAAGCTCTCTTTCTGTCCTTCTAACAGTTGTGATTTATTCCTGTTGCCGCCGCCTTTGAGTCTGTAAAGGAATACTGGAAGGGTCATTTCCCAGAGGGAGGATTTCAGAGCTGTAAATATGAAGTGCCTATGGATGGATTAGTTTTCAGCTGCTCTGTTCCCACCGGGGTATGTGGTTTTCAGCAAAGGGCTTCACCTATTCCTGCTTCTACAATCAATCAAGTTGGCTGATGGGGCCAGCTGCAGGGGGTACGGAGGCTCCTGGGCAGCACATATCCAGACTGGATCGAGAGTAGAGAGGGCAGAAATGTAATGAAGCATTTATTCATATCTGCAAATTTCCTGCATAGAACATGGACCCTTTCTTCGGCCAAATGGAGATTCTGACATCTTCCTTGCCAAAGGCTGATCTAAGGACTTACATAATGTTCCAAGTTAAAGGTATTCCATGTGAGCAGATGCATAAAATCATTATAATCATGACATTCAATAAGTGTTAAAGCAATCTGAAAGTGAATATTTGCCTTCATGTCCTTTCTGAAAACTTGGAGGTAATTGCAATTCTGATGGGACTGCATTCTAAAAACTCAGAGCAAGGCGGGAGAAAGCCCTCTTCAGAATGCCATATCAAGCAGCAGTCCACCAGTTATGAAACACTCAAGAGGCCTATCCTGAAGATCTTAATATCAGACAGGTTTGTTATGAGACAGAGATTCCCTTAGACAGCCAAGCCCAAGTGGATTTAGAATGCCTCTCAGAGCAGGTCTTCATAACAGAAGTACAGTGGTGCCCTGCTTGATGATTACCTCGTTAGATGAGGAAATAGCTTAATGATGAGTATTTTGCAATCGCTATAGCGATCACAAAATGATGTTTTAATAGGAAACAATTGCTTGACGATGATCAGTTCCCTGCTGCGGGAACCAATTTTTCGCTATACGACGATCAGAAAACAGCTGATCATCGGGTTTCAAAATGGCTCCCCGCTGTGTTCAGGAAGGCTTTTTTGCTTTACAGGCACCAGAAAATGGCCGCCCTATGGAAGATCTTCACTGGACACTGAAGTATTTCACCCTTTGGAATGCATTGAACCGGTTTTCAATGCATTTCAATGGGTTTTTTACTTTTGCTTGACGACGATTTCGTTCTACAGAGATTTTGTTGGAACGGATTATCCTCGTCAAGTGAGGCACCACTGTAATATGTACCCAATGCTGTCTACCAGTCAGCAACTTAGTTGCCACATTTTGCACCAACTGAAACTATTGGATACTCTTCCAAAGTAGAGCCATGCAATGCAAATTGTAGTCATCAACTTGTTGATGAACACACCATGACTGGATTCATCTATCTATTCATTACCTTTCCGTTTTTGCTGCTGTACAGCTTTTTCTGCTGTAGCACCCCAAATGTGGAATGCCCTCCCCTTGGAGGCTCCATTAGCACTGATACTGGCAGCATTTCAGCCCTAAATCAAGACATGTTTATTTATTCAAGCCTTTGGGGGTTCACAATTGTGGCATGTACAGGTTTTTTTGTGCTATGTTTTAAATGTTTTTAATGTTTGAGTGTTTTCATTTGATTTTGTTTAATTATAAATTGTTTTAAATATATTGCATTTTAAATTTGTTTTACATGGTTTTGTAACCCACTCTGAGATCCTATGAGATTTACTGGCTGGCTATAAATGATTAAATAAAATTAAAAAATACGGATTAAAGACATCACAAAATGAGAGCATTTGTTTATTTAGTTTTATTTATCTGTGTTGTAGTGCATGGTTGTACAGATTCCATCCAGAGCAGTGTACAAGTTCATAGTTTAACCATTTCCAACTAGTTCTGGGCACATGAAGTTAGGGAAGTTAGACAAAGGATGTTCACAATCTGCCTTTACATCTGTGCTTTCCAAAGGCTCTCTCTATCTCTTTTTTTTTGTGCAGCAAATAAATCAAAAATTAAATTTAAAAGCCTGCACAAATTCTACTCCAATTCCAGCTGTTTTTGATGACTGCTCTTAATTCTATACATAACTTCCTGGGAGTAAGTCCTGTTGAATACAGTGCATTATATCCAAGGAAACAGGCATAGGATCCTGTTTCATTCCTCAGTCAAGATTTTCTTGAAAGCAACATTGTAGTAAACTCTCAGAAAGCTTAGGACTGTGCAGCTGGAGTCTACATCGTGGTCTGAATGAATGCTGGAGCTACCGGGCCATAGAATAATGGTGGTATGGTAAAGGTAAGAGAAAGGGCTCTGCCCCCATCTGTGGTTTAGGGTTCCTGACAATTTCTGGAACATAAAAATGCTGTACTACAGCTGCTTTTGTAAGGGACGTGGTGGCGCTGTGGGCTAAACCGCAGAAGCCTGTGCTGCAGGGGCAGAAGATCCGGCAGTCGTAAGATCGAATCCACGCAACGGAATGAGCACCCATCGCTTGTCCCAGCTCCCGCCAACCTAGCGGTTCGAAAGCATGCAAATGCAAGTAGATAAATAGGGACCACCTCGGTGGGAAGGTAAACAGCGTTCCGTGTCTAAATCACACTGGCCATGTGACCACGGAAAGATTGTCTTCGGACAAACGCTGGCTCTATGGCTTGAAGAGCGGGATGAGCGCCGCCCCCTAGAGTCGGACACTGACTGGACAAAAATTGTCAAGGGGAACCTTTACCTTTACCTTTACAGCTGCTTCTCTCATGGTACACAGATAGCATGAGAATACTTTTTTTAAGGTAACCATGTTGATACAGGAGAAGAACATAAAATCCACAAGTGTATAATATTTTCATCATATCTAATAACATTTACAAAATATTAAATCAATTCTGATTCCCTTCCAGCATTTTTAATGTAAAAAATATGGAGAAGTCTATACTTCTAGACATGTTCTGTGACTATGTAGCTGCACAAGGTGGCAGGACATGTTATCCTATTAACCACATATTTGCTGTGTAATATCATCTGGCCCCTCTCCCAGGAGGCAAAGTAAAGATTTGAACTCCTGGCTCTGCAGCCAGATGCTCCAACCCACTGAGCGATGCCAATTAAAACTCCACAAGTGTGTGTGCAAACATTTGAGATCTTGAGAACTCTTCTTTAGACTAACTAATATAAAATGCAAAGGTGTGGAGAAGAAGTAAGGAAATCCAAAAATTTGACTGGAAGTTCTACCCATGAGGTCTGCAGCTAATCTGATAGGGAGACTGGGAAGATATCATTTTTTTGAAAAATAAACATGTGTACCAGCCTAAAATCTTAGTAAAATAAAAGATTCACATATAATCTGAATCAGACAGAGATAAAGTAAAAGCCAAATCTAGTTACTTGAGGTCAAATTGGATGTTTAAAAATTTTGCATTTAGAATATCAGGGTGCTTTTAATGAGATAATATAGGCTGAGAGGAGTAGAAGATGTAATATGTAGTAAAAATGTAGCCCCACAGAATATGCTTTCTCAAAGCTTTGGTCCATTGTATAGCATGGAATCATAGATTTTAAAACAGGTTCCACAATAAACATGTGAAATGTGTCTATATCCCAGGAGGCTCAGAATATCTTGAAGAGAGGCGGCAAGTCATGAAGAATTACTAAGATAAATGAATGAAGGCCAGGAACACATAAAATACAAGAATCAAGAACACTTTGGTCCCATCATGAGAAATGAAGACAGATGATAATTGAACTAAATGGGAAAAGAAGTACAGACAAGAGAAGAATATGAGAGTATTTGCTGAAAAAACATTAGAAACTGCTTTGGATGTAGCACAACATCACTCAGTGACCCTACATCCACCATAAGGCTGGCCATGTTGACATCCAATGTCTGGTAGAAGGGGAATGAGAAGAAGATTCAGGTGATTATTCACTGGGACACCACTGCACTGATGGTCCTGCAGTTCGGTTGGTTGTTATGGCTGGTTGAAAGGAAGAAGAGCTCATATTGTAGAGCCAGGGGCCAGGAGTTCAAATCAGCCAGAAAGAAGGGGGTCACCTGAAATCACTTGGAGTTTATGTAGCTGATGGGACTACATGCCCTACCTACCATCTGTGCAATGTGCATCTAGGCAAGCTGCAGAATCCCAGTGCCACCCCCACAAGAGTTGATGTAAGTTAGAAATGACTGGACAGCACATAATAATAATGTTTGTGAAACATATGTTCATGAAGCAGTAATGTTCATCGGAAATATGTGAGGTGTATTGCAAGAAGTATCTGATAAGACTCAACTGAAATGCTTTCATAGCTGGGGCTGCTATATTTAGGGGGGAAAGCTAAAGAATTATTTTAAAAAGGAGGTCTCTAGAGCTTAGAGGCAACATTGTTTTCCCTTCTGGCAGTGCTTTTCAAATACAAGTGGTGACTTGAATAGCGAGGTTAATGCGGTTCTGTAAAAAAAAAAATCAATGTGGTTTCCCATTGAAATGCATTGAAAGCCGGCTAATCCGTTCCAATTGGAACGAATTGCCGTCGTTAATGGAAAATCTCCATAGGAAACCTCGCTATTCAAAACACGGTTCCCCCCACTGAAATGCATTGAACCCTATTCAATGCATCTCAAGGGGGGGGGGAAATCAACCACAAATTAACAAAGAGTCAGAACAAGGTCAAATTGGGTTAACACAGGGTTTATTAACTGCACTTTACGATCTCAGACATTTCAAATCCTAAACCTTAACTTTAAACCCTTTAAAAGCAGCAAACACGAAGAGCGGTTCCTCCATTGAAATGCATTGAAACCTATTCAATGCATCTCAAGGGGGGAAAAATCAACCACAAATTAACAAAGAGTCAGAACAAGGTCAAATTGGGTTAACAAAGGGTTTATTAACTGCACTTTATGATCTCAAACATTTCAAACAGAAAACCCCTTTAAAAGTAGCCAACACGAAGAGTGGTTCCTCCATTGAAATGCATTGAAACCATTGAAGATTGCTATCCGATAATCGCCCATAGGAAAAATCGCTAATCAAGGCTTTAAAATGCCCCGAAAACCACATTGCTATTTGGTTTTTTCGTTAATAGAGGCACTCGCTATTCGAGGCACCACTGTAATCTACCATATACTTCTCACAGTTGAAAGGTACTTTGAATGAGCTGTTATGCCGTATTGAAGGCAGGCCTTTAGGCTCAGATTCTGTTGCTCTGTTTTTGGGCAAAGGCAACACAAAGCATCTGACATTAGCAGTTCTTCTGCTTTTTGGTGCTGTGCTTGCTTCCAACTTTCGTGGCACAGAAGAAACTGCATAACAAAGTGAGCTGGAGGATACCTTAATTAACACCCACAAAATGCATCCTCTTCTATTGCTCTTTAGCATTGCTGCAGAATTTTGAATTTCTGGTAAAAGTCCTTTTGCTATGCAGTAGAAGGATGTACACAAAGAAGAATAGCTACAAGTTCCCTAGACAGTCCACATCTTTACAGACTGAGTAACTTATTCTAAGACATTTGTAGTAGAAAGAGTAAAAAAAACATTTCCTTACCTAGAGTTGGCTGAAATTACAGACTTAGGTATGCTGCTTTCTTTCTACGTACATACTTGGATACCAACTGAATAGATCAACAGCAAGCAACTAATCAAACTCAGGAAAATGAAGGGGAAGAGACACTCAGCAGAGAGGCAGGAAATCAAAGGCTGGGACAATTAGTGTTGGATGGTCAATAATCTCAGCCCAGCAAAGTCTGTCCATCACAGAGTTACAGATAGAATGTGAAGTTGCAAATAAAAATCCAAAAAGCATTGCATCTACTCATCAAACTCACCTGAGAATTAACAAGGCGTATTGTTGTTTCCTCTCCTACATCAACCTGAAACCCTCTGGTCGGGGCCCCATTGAACCGCAATACTGCATCATGGCTGTCTAAAAATAGGCAAGAGGAAATATACATTAAAGGCATAGGATAGAACAAAACACCTCTAAGTGCACACAAACACAAAATTGAATCTGAGCTCCAGAAACCAACAGTTGTTCCTTGAGAATAAGGCAGTAATCTTATGACAAACAAACTCAAAAGACAAGACTGTGTGATATCTTTATTAGACCACTAAAATCTCGTACACAAAGGTTAGCTTTTGATTCCACAAAAGTCTTCCTCAAGCTAGACATGCCAGGGCTACGAGTGGAGTTGGATCCTACAGTTCCAATGTCTTTGAGGAAAATGAGTCTTAGCCAAAAAAAAAAACCCTACATGTTTTTACACACATACACATGTGAACAGTACTGCTTATAAAAGAAGCAGTAGAACTGGTCATAGTCATTTTTATTCTGGTACCTGATGCCACCTGCATTGGAAAAAGGGGCATCATAAAGTAGAGGAGGGTAAGTAGGACCTTGGCACAGGGTATCAAAATTTAGAGAGCACTAAATTTAGAGGTGTGTTGGTTGGAGAGTGTCAGGAAAATAAACTGTAACATCTCCCGGTGCCATTCCCAGGGGTGGTCTATACTCTTCCACCACTTGAGAAAGAATTGAAGGGCCATTCCAAGCCTTCACATTTCTCTACTCTGCTATGCCTCTTCCTTGAAGAAGAGGAAAGCTGTGCTTTCAAAGAAAGAATAGAGGGCACCATGTCCATGCTCTGTCCCCTCCAACAACGGTAAAGGCCGGCACTGCTGTAGTGCACACATCTTGCTTCACATGCCCAAGAAGGATAAGATTATGTAGTACTAACAGCATTGTGGGGCAGCTGTGCGCCACAAAGAAAGAGGGGAAAGAGCATCAGGGAAAGTAGGTGGACGAGGAAGGTGCTTTCCCTGGTGCCAAAACAGCTATCTACCAGGGATGGGGATTTGAGTCACGGGACAGGCTGTCAAATCAGACTTGTCACATCGGTGACTCAGATTTGACTTCAGGTTGTTGTTTTCAGTGACTCAGACTCAACTCACAACTCAGAACCCACCCACCCCTCCCTTTTTCTGGGGGGAAAAGCTTGTTTTTTAACAAGGACTTGGGGTTGGGGCTTGGAACTTGGTACCTGGGGGGAAAAGCTTGTTTTTTAACAGGGACTTGGGGTTGGGGCTTGGAACTTGGTACCAACGACTTGGACTTGAGACGTGAACCCAAAGACTTGCCAACATCCTTGCTAACTACAGCCGTGTCTGGCCCTGTTTTGGGGAGAGATGAGGGGAAAATGCACTGATGCTGGACTTGATGTGTATTATATTGTTTCAGTTCTCTCCTACAGTTTGCTGGCACCAGAAATCTCCACTGGAATCCGTATTTAACAGGCCCGTCATTGAATGTAACCATTATAATAGCACACTGGAAGTTCAAAACAACACACACACATATTGTTCATTCGTTTACTTAAAACATTTCTTACCTCCCATCTGAAGAAAATTCATGCCAGTGTCCAAAAATATAAACAAAATAATTGCACAGATGTAGTTTTAGAAGTAGTAGCCATGTTAGTTTGTGATAGTCTCGCAGATGTATAACATACAAATACAATATAATACTTTCTTGTGACAACTCAATAAGACTGTTATCATGATAGTTCCCTGGATTCACTTGTTTCTGTTTGTCCTCATGTATGGAGGAAAATTGGAAAGAACCACTTGCATTTTAAACTAAATGCAGTCCAGTGTGTAAGCCAAACTCTAAAGTACGGTAAGTCATAATTATGTGTTTTTTTAAAGCACAATTTGACTTGTTCCAAGAAAAATATAATTACAGTTGTGTTCAGATGTCACAACAAACTGTTTAAATTAAAAAAACGGAAATGAAAATGTTTGAATTTGTAGATATGTCAGAATAGGAGAGGAAAGATGGGGAATATGTGGTCAGAAGAGGCCAATCTTGCTTCCACCATGATAAACCATCCTTACCACAACCGCTGAATGCAGCTATAACTTAGGAGACATCTAAAATCAATCAGCATTAAAGGAGTTGGAGAGAATGAAAAAAAAACATGCAATACATTCAAAATGGATTACCTTTTTCTTGCCTATAACACTGAAAGCCCCAAAGTCAAAGATTTTAATCTTATTTTGTTGCTTCTATTGTAACAGAAGAATAATGCAAACCTATTTCAGGTCCCAAATGGGATGACCTCATGGATCCCGCTGAGGACACAACTGCACACCGGCCCAGATGCATGGTGATGTTTTCCTTGGGCAAGTATGCCTCCCATTCTGATGTATTGAAGGGGCTCTCTGCTGCAGTTATCATCCCAAAGTCTAGACGACTGCGAAGCTGGCACAGGATTTCTTCAGAACTGAGTTTAGTAGTATATTTTGGTCCAGTGTACTTGACATGGTATTTGTTCATTTGTAGGTAGTTTTTCCTTGCCTTTTGCAGTCGAGGGTTGAGGCTTTGAGATGAGCTATTCTTGTTCCATACTTTGATAGCACTGGGTAATTCCTTAGGCTTTGCAGTTAACTTACTGCCTGCTACTGCTGTAGAGGTATTAAGGCGTAGTGTTTTGGCAGACAAAGAGAGTTTCTTTGTGACATTGATAGGTGCATCCTGGGCCAGTCCTTGTTTGAGGGTGCCCCATCTCCACATCTTCACCAGTATGTGACTGGGCTGGCTTTCTGATTTTAGAGAAAAATAAAGTCCTTTCCGTGTTTCCTTCCACAAACAAATAGTCAGAACCAGAATAAATGCCAGGAGGATGTAAATGCATTTTCTAAGCAAGTTGACATGAACCATAATGTATGATGCATCAGGTTGGGGAAATCAACTCCAGACTGGAAGTTGGACCTGAAGAGAAACCCATGCATATGTTATGAGCAATATATTAAATCAATTATATTTACACATTAAAGCTTGAGGCAGGGGAAGCATATGTATTTGAAATAAAGCCCATCAAAGTGTTGGTTTAGACCCTTTAGATGTAGACCTAGCTTTGTGGAAGACACTTTTCCAATAGTGACACATCTAAGGACCAGTATTAACACATGCCTTAAAGAGGGGTAGACTGATCCATATGTTATCAACACATCCTATTTTGATAGTATGTTATGTTGGAGAGATCATGTATCTCTCCTACAGCAAAACTTCTGAGTCCTCCACTTACCTGTGCATCTTAGAGCTAGAGTGTGTGCTATTGCTTAGTACAGTATAATAAATATACAGTATCCTTGCTGCAGCCATCAATGCTGTCCCCTGACTGAGAAAGATTCTGCATCTGCATCAGCCACCTCTTATGGGATGCCATTACTATGTTGCTGAAGGAGGAAGACTCAGGAGGAAGATTATTCCACTTTGACAGCAGCTATTTCTTAGGAGGTACCACTGGTGTATTGCTGTTGTTTATTCATTCCTATGATAAATTCAGTCATCTTTTTTGTTTCTACAAATAGGTTGTTTATACATTTGCCCATATCTAAGGGCTACATCTGTCCTTGACCCCCAAGCCCACACCATTTAATCAATTATGATGCCAATCAGGATGATTAGGTCCCAAGTGGTCAATCATAAGATGGGGGGGGTATAGCTGCCCATACTGCACTCTCCTTACCATAGGTAGACCTGCACTGGCCACCATCCAAACTGGTCATATCAGGTTTTGGAAGAAAGTACTCCCCAGACCTAAATAAGGTGTGTGTGGGGGGAAATGGACTGAACTGGCTAATTTTTTAATGGGGCTTGAGAGGGCTTTAAGGCCAATGTGCCGCTCCTTGCACACTGCTGATCCAGCTAGACAGAACAGCTATCTAATTCTGGCCTTGCTGGTTAGTGTGTCTAAGAAATGTACTTAAAACATACACACATAGAAATACACATGCCTTTTGCCTTACACTATCTAGACTTTCTAGGGTCTCTAACTCAGGATTTTCCCATCATTTGCTATTTGATGGGGGTGGGGGAAGGGATTACAGCTAAGCTTCGTGGATACCAAACTATATATCCTGCTACTGAACTATGAGCTCCCTTTCATAATCTGGAAGTTCCAGTATTTGAAGTCAGCCTGAAACTAGGGTAAAGGAATTGTGAGTAGCTTACTTACCAGATATTTAGTTAATTCACCTATTAAATTAGCTTTTCATATGCATCTAATGAAAAACATAAAGCCGGGGGTACAGGGAGAGGCTCATGGTGAAGTAGGAAAAACATGGAAAGGAAGAGATAGAAGGGGCATTTGCTGGAGGGTGACTGACTCTGTTTTCTTGGATAAGATCACATAAAGATGGGTATACACTGGGAGGCATATCAACAGCTATGGAACTGTTCGTTTGGGCACAGGCACAACTTTGGGAAAGTGACCTTTTGGACTACAGCTCCAGAATCCAACACACACAGCCCCCAGAATCCTAACACTGGGAGTTGCAGTCCAGGAAACCATTTTTCCCAGTGCTGGGAAGCATGGAGAGATCAGCAACTGCCTCTTCAGTAGCTCTTTCTTTTTCATACTAGTCCCAGAAAGATAAAAGGGGAAGTGTAGCCTATTTTGACCTTAAACAGGAAGAAAGCAACTCCACCTCTTCTGTTTCTGCAAAAACTGGGTTGGGAAATTCAAGGACTATGGGCTCATGAATGAGGTAGAAATTAGAAAATCTTCAGAGGTAGCCATATTAATTTGACCCAGCAAAACAAAGGAGAGTAGGGTGGACACCTTGAAGAGTAAGAGTTATTTTAATATGGCCTTCTGTGGATTCTAGTCTACTTCTTCAGATGTGTGGAGCACCATATTCAGGTCTCTAAATTATGCTTAATCTACATTGTTGTGGTGACAGCCAGTAACATGCAGTGAATACAGTATCACACTAGAACTTGGGAGATCTAGATTCAGAGGTGGCAGTGTTTGTTTCGGCACAATGCAAAATTTAAAGGGAAGAAATTTGATAAGAGGAAGAGAGGAGTCAGAATGAGAGGATGTAGAAAAATGTAAATTATCTTTGCTCTGGTTTTAAAATGCTCAGTGCATTTCAGCACTCTGCCTTCTTCAGGAGCAAGGAACTTCATTAGCTCATTTGGTTTGTGCCAGCTCTGTATACTTGTAGTAGAATACCAGCTGGTACAGACCAAATGAGCTAATGAAGTTTCAATTCTAAAACCTTGCTCCTGAAGAAGACCATGTCCCAAAATACGCTGATCATTTTAAAATCAGAATAAAAAACTACTTACATTTTTCTACATCATGAGGCCTAGTCTCTCATTCTGATTTCTGATACCATTGGATGTACCACTTCCTTGTGTTTCTGCTTTGGGGAGAGGGAACAGCAAAGGACAAAGTGTCATGGCACCTTATAAAACTAACTGATATATTTCAGTGCAAGCTTTAATGAATAAAAATCCATTACCTTAGACACAAGGGGTTGGTTAGCATAAGGATCAGCATAACAAATAAAGTTGTTAAGGGAACACAAGTCTGTGAGATGGTTGGGCTTTTAACTGCCTTTGAATCACAGGGTTTTGCTTTCAAGGAAAGTTAATTCCAGAAAATTATCTTAAAGTCAGACGTCTGGATTCAATGGTGGCACAACCCCTGGGGAAGTCCTGGTTGTGGAAACAATTGTATAATTTCCACACATGCACAAGGAAGCATTCAGTATCTCCTTGCTCAAGAAGTTCTTACTGCTGCATAGAGATCAAGCAACAGAATTGGCCCATTGACATGCTAGTTGGTGCTCTGCCCCCTGCCTCAAGTTGCTGTTGGATACTGTAAGTGCTTTACAAGCCAGCAGGACGCCTCCTCTTTCTCCAGGCCCAGATCCCACATAACAGTGATACAGCTGGAATGAGACTTTTTTTTTGATCAGCCTCAAGTTGCATTTAATCTCAGCCAAAGTCTTTATCTGAATGTGGGGGAGGATACATAAAAACACGGTTATAAAAATTAGCTTATCACCAAGCTATTGTTCTTACTCTAACCTTTGTTTATTGACTAGATTTTCCTAGTTCAACTCTCTTTCTTTTAAAATTTCCTTTGAAATTCCTTTGTTGCACAACAGCCCCTTGGGTGATCAGTGACAGAATGTCCTGGGAAACTGGAGTGACCAGACACTGGTTTTTTTTTTTTTTTGTCAGAATAAATGTGGGAACAAGGTTGATCTGAGTGACCAGACACTGGTTTGTTTGTTTGTTTGTTTGTTTGGCCAGAATAAATGTGGGAACAAGGTTGATCTGGGATTAGTATCCATTCCTTATGTCATGTTCGCTTCCACTTATTCTTTGTAGTGTCTGCCCTATGTAAAATGCAGATGGGGAGTGTTGGAATTGGATACCATAGGTTTCAGTAGGAGAAGAACTAGTAAATAAATGACTTACAGTATGCTGTGTGTGACAGTTAAAACCCATAATGTAAAAAGACTGTACAAAATGGACACTAAGCCCAGATATTAACCCTCTTCCTACATTTATTCGATCAACACCATTTCATTGTTACATAGTTCCAAACCTTGAGTCCCAGATGTTTGTGGACTAAAACTCTCAGAAGCCTTCACCACCAGCTCTGCTGAATAGGATTTCCGGGAGCTGCAATCCAAGAACACAGAATCATTGAGTTGGAGGGGGCCTATAAGACCATTGAGTCCAACTTCCCTGCTCAGCGCAAGAATCAAAGCAGATCTGACAGATAGCTGTCTAATTTTCTCTTGAATGCCTCCAATATTGGAGTGCTCATCACCTCCCAAGGCAATTGGTTCCATTGTTGTACTGCTCTAATAGTTAAGAAGTTTTTCCTAATATTCAGTCTAAATCTGTTTTCCTGTAGCTTGAGCCCATTATTACATACATGGCTTGCACTGTGATTGAGAACGGATCCTGCCCCTCCCCTGTATTACCTTTCAAGTATGTCAAAAGTGCTATCCCCCACCCTCAGTCTTCCTTTCTCAAGGCTAAACATACCCAGTTATTTCAGTCTTTCCTCATAGGGCCGTGATAATCCTTGTTGCCCTCCTCCGAATTTGCTCCAGTTTGCTGGCATTCTCCTTAAAGTGTGGTATCCAGAACTGGACACAATACTCTAGATGAAGCCTAACCAGTGCCAAATAGAGAAGGACTAGTGCCTCATGGGATTTGGAGACTGTACTTCTGTTGATGTATCCTAAAATAACATTTGCCTTTTTTTTTTTTGCAACCCCCTCTCAGGACCCAAGGTTGGGAATCACTGCTGTAATAGCATTTCCAGAATGAATGTAGGAACAGGGTTGTTATTGGGGCGTAGTATCCATCTTGTGTGGTCTTTTGTGGGTCAGTAGTCATTTAAGATTGTGGAAAGGAAGCCCTTTGACAGGCACATGAAGCAAAAGCCACTGAGGCCGAACTTTCTCTCAGCAGGAATATTTAGCTCATTGCCCAGGCATATGAACATCCTTTTGCCATTGACAAATCCTGCTCCAGTCTCTCTCAGACAGGCATCTCTGCCAAAAAATAAAAATAAAATAAAAATGGCAGGTCAGTCTTCATTTCCTGTGTGGTGATGCATTTGAATGAGACAAAGAGTATGTGGTATGGATTACTAATGAAACATTTCAGAACAGCAACATGTGAGCTGTAGAAGGGCAGCTTCTACTTAAACTGGTCTGCCTTAAAAAATCCAAATCACAGAATTCTAATCAATTAATTAGTTTAAATAGATATGTAACACTTCAGTTCTACTTTGGTACTTGGGAAAAGCTACAGCTTACTGGCAGAACATTTTTTTTTAATTTACAGAAGGTTTCTAATTAACTACTTTGGTTTTTCCACGTAGAACCAGAGAGACTCCTGTCTGAAATCCAAGGGAAGATTTCAGGTTTCACCAATAGGTATAGTTGGCTGGATGATTCAGTGGGTTAGGTTATCTAGTTGTGGAGCCAGAGTTTGGGAGTTCAATCCACTACTGTGCTTCCTGGAAGTAGAGTCAGTCTATATAGCCTTGTGCAAGCTGTACAGTCCCAGGATACCCCTGAAGAAGGCAACAGTAAAGCACTTCAGAATATTCTGTACCTAGAAAACCTCAGAAAGGGTTAACATAAGTCAATTTATAATAAACACTATTATAAGCAACAAAACTGAGCTTCCTACATTCCTACAGATAAACAACCATCAGGTCTACTTCAAATCAAGAGTAAGACGAAGTCGCCAAGCCCTTGAAGTTCAGGAACTGTGGGTAAGTCTCTCCTTCCAATACGATATCTAAAGAAGATGAACGTGGGTCATCTCCATATTCTCTATTGGCACTCTTCTTAAAGAGCCACACCCATTAGGTGTGAAACCATACACAATCATGCATCTTCTTAACATATAAAAAGTGACAGAGATCATTATCTCAATTCCCACATTTTTAAAGACAACACCAACATTTTTTTAAAAAAAAAGCACAACACAGTCTTCTTTGAAGTCACGGTGTGACATGGAAATTCTTGCTCTGTTCTGTTTTTAAAATTAGTATTATTATTTTTTCCTTCTCATTACAACTGCTAGAGGCAGATGTCATTACAAATCAAAACAGAGCTGAAGCTGCCTGGCTGATTCATTTCCTGTGCTTGCCTTGGATCGTAACTGCCATTTAAAAAATTGAATCTATTTATGCAAACTTATGGAAAAGGTGATTTCATAAAGCACAGAGACAGTCTGAAGGTAACTGCACACCAGCGTCAGTGAGATCATAGGAAATCTCAACAGATCTGGAACTGGGAGAGACAGTGTTCCTAACAGGCTTATTAAACAGCTGGCAGAGCTGAGCTATTTTCCTTCAGGGCCTGGCTTCCCCAGGGATCCCTCAGAAGCTACTTAGGCACAAATGCACCTTACACAAACAGGACAGAAGAGCAGGCACATGCTAACTGCCCCAGCTCATCTTATATGAAAAACCACATTATTTAACCCAAAGGGCTTGTGTGGCACATAAAGAGAAATACAGTGGTGCCTCGAATAGCGATGTTACATCGCTACTGGATTTCATCCCTATTCGAAATGCGGTTTCCCATTGAAATGCATTGAAAGCCAGCTAATCCATTCCAATACGAATTGCTGTCGTTAATGGAAAATCTCGATAGGAAACCTCGCTATTCAAAACGCAAATGCATTGAAACCTATTCAATGCATCTCAAGGGGGGGGGAATTCAACAACAAATTAAAAAAGAGTCAGAACACAGTCAAATTGGGTTAACAAAGGTTTTATTAAGTGCACTTTACGATTTCAAACATTTCAAACCCTAAACCTTAACTTTAAAACATTTTAAAAATAGCGAACACAACACGAGGCTGTTTAAATAGCAAACAGTGAGCCAGCCAGCGAGGGAGCAACGAAGGAGGAGGAAGCCAGCCAGCCAGCCCAGAAGGAGGGTCGCAGCCGCCTACCTGCCCGTCCCTGCCTGCCGGGGGGGCGCCCGGTGGGTCCCTTTGTTCTTCTCCTCCCTCAACCCCCAGCGCTCTCGGCCCACAGCGACTGCTCCGAGGCCGACAGCCCTCAGCCCCAGGGGGCCGGTGAGCGCAAGAACATTTAAAAAATACTGTAGCGAACACGAGGCTGTTTAAACCATCGCTAATCGAAAATCGCCCATAGGAACCATTGCTAATCAAAGCGCAAAAATGCCCCGAAAAACTAATCACTATTCGATTTTATCGCTATTTGAAGCGCTCACTATTCGAGGCACCACTGTAGTTATATAACTACTTATATTGTTGAAAATTTTAGTACACTAGAACAGAGTCCCAGTTGTTGTTGTTGTGTGTCATCAAGTCGGAAGCAACTTATTGTTTGAATTTAGTAACCTTTGTATCCTACCTTTAAGAGATTTTTTTGCTAGGTTACAGTGGGCTACAGTGACTGCCTTGGCCACTCACTCACTCACTAAATTAATTAAGTGCTCTGTCAGCCAAGTAGTCAGTATGAAGCTTATTAACCACTTAAGCTCTGTTTGTATAACCAGTCATTATTTTTTCCACAATGTGCTGCTTTTAATCTATCCAGAATTGTGGGTAAATCAAACTTTTTATTCTTTCTCTTACTGGTGTTTCTGAGTGAATTATTGAGACAGGAACTACCAGTTACAGAGAACAAACACTGAGGGGTGGTATGCTGCGGGAAGATATGAAGCTAATTCTGCTCTGTAGGTCTCCTAATGTATTTCCACTTTGTAGCTAGAGGTTTTAAACCTAACAGTTTCCACACTTTGCAAATACTTACTAATACTAATAAGTATTTCTAAATAGTGAGATATTTAACTAATGAGCAGACCAGTTCCACACCGTCAGTGGGTTCACATGGCGGAGTGAGGATTTGAACCCACACCTCCTGAGACTTATTCCATCACTCTACCCTCTGTTTCCCACTTCTCACTAGAGCCCTGGTTGACAACAGGCAAAATGGAGGAGTCTTTCCTGAAGAAAGGAGGAACAAGTCATTGACCCTTATTTTAAAATGTACATAAATGTACATCTCCTCTATGCAAAACACACTTTGGAAGAGACAAGAACACCAACAAATTAAAGCTAAGTGCTTTGCATGCAGGTCAAGCTAGGAAGCCAAGTATTTTAACTGTAATATTTATTCACATATGTCATTTAGAAACTAGTTTCCCGCATTGTCATATGGTTTTATTCTGTTTCATTCTGTATAAGCTTTCAAAGGCTGTAGCCCACTTCATCAGATGGAAGATTTAATAGGATACTACACTTGATCTTAGCCAAAAGGCTGAGAAGTGATTTAATAGGGCTGTGATTTATAAAGGCTTATGACCAACAAACTGTATTAATGTTAAGGGTGTCATAAGAGTCTTTATTGCTTTGTTAGGACTATTACAATCATGGTTAACTTAGGAGATTGTTTCAAGTTTATTTAGAAAGCTGTTTTTAAAAGCTTTCAAAACTCAGTATCATATACTTTACCTTCATTTGTAAATTGGCTTTTAAAGATAGCTTCAGCCAGTGTTCTGTTTACCTCACAGTACTTTTAAAGAAACATGATGCCTCAATGGCAGTGGTGGACAACTTCTAGAGGTTTAGGGGCTGAACCACCATAACCCCTCTTACACCTTACCCCAGGTTTTTAAAATTAAAAACCCACTCATGTTTTTGACATGAATTTTTTAATAAAATTAATAATGTGGGGGGAGATGAGGTTGTTGAAGGGCTCAAAGCATGACACAATTGCCTCCATATCAGAAGACACAACTGTCTGAACAACAACAAAAACTTCATTTAGAGCGTGGTAGAGCATGCTGAGTAAACTAGGAATTCTGGAGAGCCTTCTTTGCATCCCTGAGGTCACACATAGCTTTCAGAGTACATTTTCTGCACCCTTGCTATAAGGCAAAGAAGGGGAAGAATTAGGTTTACGAGTTCTGCTTTTGTATTTCTTCACCAGTGAGGCTCACCAAGCAGCCATTTGTGAACAAGAGCCTTTGAGCACATGCTTGTCTGAGGATTTTCTCCCTCGGTACCAAATATGGATCCTGTGCACACTTCCTTTCATAACACAAACATGGTCCTACCTTCCTCCATTTTCATAGATTTCATCAAACTAATCCCAATCGACTTTCTTTTTCTTCTATACATGGTATAGAATTGACACTATCCTGCCTTGACTGTCAGACCATGTATTTTTTAAAAAACAAGCACAATGTACCAGCTGATGGTACTTGAATCTCTGCATGCTTTTCAGCAGCTTTCCTATAAACGGAGAAATATTATTGATATCCAACCACCAAAATAAAATAACACTTTAATGAAAACTGTGGACATCCTACTGATGAACCACCCGCACTTCAACAAGATGAACAAGAAATATACTTAAAACAGCCTAATTAGTAATGCAGAAATAGTTCTCTGTATAATAAAACAAATGGAGTATGAGTTATGTCTCTGAGGGATTAACAAGTAAGAAATCTCCATAGACACCATGTGTCACATCACTAAGCATGTAAAAGGGCCTACAGAAATTTCTTAATGTTCAACAATTTGGTCTAAAAGCTACACAGTTTGCACAACAATGAAACAAGATTTCTAGTATCTTACAACCTTATAGCGCTGAAACCTAATTACTAGAGAGAATGTGTCCTCAAACCACATTTGCTAAGCTGTTGACAGATTTGTTACCTGCTTTGATGAATAAGTAAACTGGCACTGCTCTATGTTAACTGTTTTAGGGTTGCTCCATTGGATCATCATTGATGCCTGAAGTACCAAGATCTTTCGCAAAGTGTAAAAGCCACACCTGCAAAACAGAAAAAAAAATCCATTTATTAGGGGAAGAAACCAACATCAGCAAAGATGATATCATGCTTGGTGCAGTAACATATCTGAGCCATAAACTGAAGAACTCAAGGGTTAATTCAACCCAGGCTTTTATAACTGACCTGTCTCAAACACAGAATTATGTGGGGAAGCCAGATGATGTTGTATTCCACTTACATCCTTTCTGCATTTCCCCTTTTCCATCTCCTTTTCTCAGCATAAAACCCCAATTATACAATATGTTTTTACTAGTATTACAGAGACCAATCCTTCTAGAATACCTTCCCCCAAGCTGATGCCATGAGATGCGTCTGACAACAATTCCCATCACCCCAACAGCTCTCATTACCCCATTGGCCATGCTGGCTGAACATGAGAGGGACTGTCGTCCCTCACAGTTGGGGAAAAGTTGATCTGGAAGCACTATAGATGTCTGGCAGTTGGGCTTCCCCACCCAATTACACATGAAGAGAAACATACTTGTAATAATGCAAACACTCTTTGATAGCTCTGAAGACTTCAGAATCAATTGCAAATAATTGTTAATCACTTCATGCAAATAAATAAATAAATAGATTTACAAATGTATTTATGGAAACATTTAAAAGTGATTGACATGCCAAAAAGATAGAAAGAGCCAAGCAATCAAATGTCACTGAAATCAAACTAAAAACAGTATGACTGCAATGCAACTATTCCGAGCACTCTGCCAACTGTATGTAAAGGAGCATCACATGCTTGACAAGCAATTATTTCTTACAATTTAGACAGGGTGCCAATAATTTTGGCCAGTGCATTTTTTGGGGTTTCTGTGTGGGATTGTAAAAGATTTGACTTTTCTTCTTTGTTTTTGTGGTGTTCCAACACAAACCAACGAAATGAATGTGTGACTACCAAAACATTTGCAACTGCAACAATGTTCTAAGAGAACGGTTGCATTTACTGACAGAATTGCAAGGGTGCCAATATTTTTGGCCATGATTGTGTATTCAAATAGACGTCTAAAACCTGCATTTCCTTAAAGTCAGGAAAGATGGAGCCATCAGGTTTGTTAGGGAGAAAGCAATTTAGTAGGGTGAGGGCTACCAGAGACTGAATTCGACACTGCAGATTGAAGAGAGACTAAACATAGCCTGTTCTCAAACCATAAAAAGAAAAGAAAAAGAAAAAAAATGAGCCCAGTGAAATCATTGGGACTTCAAATTAGTTAAGGTATGACTAAGTCTTGATCCAACCCACTGACTTAAGAAGAGCCATATTGGATCTAGCCCAACATTCTGTTTCCACAGTGGCCAATAAGATGCTATAGGAAACGTCCCAAGAAGACATGAATCAAAAACACCACCCTCCTTATTTATGTTCCCTAGCAACAGAGTTATACCATCTCAGATATCTGAGATAACACCATACTTGGAAAGTTATTTTTAAGATGCAATTTGTTAAGGTTAAGGAAGTCTATGTCTTGCCTGAAAAGGGGGTGCCTCACTTCAAAATTATGGGCTCAGGCACCCTTTTACTCACAGTAGCCCTAAAACTAACTTGTTACCATTACACTCAATGTGTTAAAAGTTGCTCTTTTTAATTTACTATTTCTCAAAAATAACTAAAATTACTTTAAACTACTTCAAGAAGTTGTGAAAGTTACAAGCTACTGGCCTCTAATACAAATCAGATTCTTTATCCATCTGTGTTACTGTCACCTCTACAGTGAAAGAACACAAGACAAACCAACACAAGTCTGTATGTGATATTCCTTCACCACAATTCAGTGAGTACATTCCCTCTGTATAAAAGTATCTAGAAAGTGACAACTACATTGCAAAACGAGCAAAGTTATGCCTGATTAAATGATTATCATAATCTGTTACACATTCTTAATTAGAAAACAAACATTTATTATACATGACTAATTATTTGTAACTTCTATCTTCTAGGCTCAGTAACAGCCTTCCATGAACATGTTTAATCCCCTTTTCATACCATCCACATACGTAACAACCACTACATCTTGTGGCAGTGAATTTCACAGTTTCATAATGTGTTATAAGAAAAAGTACTCAATTTTATCTGTCCTAATTTTATATGTTTTAAAGTAGATTTTAATCTATTTCTTAAGAATTTATATATATTATACATCACACATTCTGGCCAGAAAGGTGATTAATGCATAATAACAACATTTCTTGCTTTGCAAACATAATCCAAACCAATGTTTTTAGTCTAGTAACTTTTTTTCTTTTTTACCCAACACATTATATTGGTTTGGATACAAAATATGTTCTAGGTCAAGTTCTTTGTTTGTCCCAGCTCTTTCTTTGTTTGTAAAAATAATAATCATTAACAACCATGTGTCATCATATTGAGTCTAATTTGAGGTGACCCTTTCCAGATTTTCCAGGTATAGAGTACTCAGAAGTAGTTTACTGTTCTCTTCTTCTGTGGGCACCAAGGGACAATGTGGTGGCCATTGCCATAAGGCACACTGGGGAATTGAACTCCTATGACTCTGGCAAGTGGCAGAAACCTGGGAATGTTATTTATAAGTGCCAATGTCATCAAAGCCTTGCATTTTAGATCTGGCTCTGTGTAAACTCTACAACCAAACACAACTCTGGGAGATTAGAATGTCCCAATCTGGTGCACAAGAATTAAACAGCTCCAGGATTTAGAAATTAAGCACAGTGTATAATATTGCAACATAAACCAGTAAGCAAGACCTCTAAATAAAACTAGCTATGTTACAATCAGATATTAAATGGCAAAGGCCTGTTGGGATTAAAATGTTTTTCAGTTGCCACTGAAAAGAGAGGAGAGAGAGGGCCAGCCTTGCCTCGTGGTGGCAGGGCATCCCATAACCTGGAGACTATCATGGAGAAAGCACACTCTTGGCAAACATACCTTTAAAGATGACGGAACTGAAAGATGAGTATTCCTAAATTATCTCAAGATCTGAGGTGGGTTATATGGGGAGATTTAGTCCGTCAAGGGTTTTATAGGTCATAGCCTGCCCTGCACTTTGAATTGGGCTCTGAAAATTAGACCAACAGCCAGTGAAGCTGCTATAACAAAGGGCTTATAAACTCCCTGTCACCAGATCTAATCAACAGTTTGGTTGCAACATTTTACGCCAGATGAGGTTTCAGAACACAACATGTAATCTCAAATGGATAAAGCAAAGACCAGCATTTGGATATAATCAAGCCACCCTAGACTTCAGAAAATGTTCACTATTTTGCTAGTTTACAGCAATGTTAGACGTGTACTGCTCACAGGTTATCATGACTACAGTTTGGTTTTCATTATCAACCCAGCTCTTTTAGAAATATTCAGGTATTAATCAGAGAAGAACTATAAGATGATATACCTATTGATGTTATGTTGAACTAATAAGATGTAGTGGTTAGAAGTCTTACTTACTGGTGTGATAACCAGACGGTGGTACACATTGTTAACTCTGTCATCTAGATCTCAGAGAGTAATGGTGCTTGTCAGAGCCCTCACTTTGAGGTGTTTACACTTTAATATATATTTCTACAGGATCACCATGTCCCGGGGGTTGATCATTCCATTGCTGACACCCTGTCCAGTCAACAAATGGACCAGTTCAGGGTGTTGGCACCGGGGGCACAGGTTCAGCCAGATGTCCTACCATATGAGGTATCGAATCTTGGAGGGCTGAGGCTAATAGAGCAATGAGTCTAGCAGTGGCACCAAGCACTTGCTGTAGTTATATGGCAGCATGCAAAGAATATTTTAACTTTTGTGAAAAAGAGGGACTGGGACATGACTGGCCTGCATCAGAGGATAATCTTATGCAATTTGTAGTTCATTTACATAGGAAGTGACTGGCCCCTAGATCTATTCAAGGCAGGATATCTGCTCTAGCTTTTTATGCTAAGGCTCAAGGTTGTAAAGGGTTGTCTGTCGACTTTTCGTGTTTGCAAGATAATCGAAGGATGGAGTAGAGAACAAGGTGTGGCAGGTGATACTCATACACCAATATTGCCTGCTATATTGGCCAAGCTGGGGAATGTATGGGAGGTGATTTGTGAGGAACAATTTGATGTTTGCCTGTTTAGAGCTGCTACACTTATCGAATTTTTGGGGGCCCTGCAGATCAGCGAATTAGTGGCTGCCTCCAAATATGACATGCCACTATTCTCTCTGCAGAGGAAGGATGTGGTGGTATCGAAATGCCAGATTGCCATTCATTTACAGAGGTAAAATTCGGATCAATTAGGAAAAGTACAGGTGTTGTTGTTAGAACAATGTTCCGAAGTTGAGATTTGCCCAGTAAGGGCTACACAAGTCTATGTGCAGCTTAGGGGCGCGGAGGACAGCATGTTTTTCTTTTTGCATCATAAGGATAAGTCACAAAATACCAGTTTTGAAAAATTACTTCCCGAACCTTATGCAAAGCAGGGATACAGGGCTGGGGTTTTGGAATGCATTCCTTCAGGATTGGTGCTGCATCTACAGCAGCAGCCCTTGGATATGCAATTGACAATATTAAAAAAAGTAGGCAGATGGTCGTCGCAATAATACCGTTCTCATGTTTGCCCATTACCACCATTTTAGGTGCTGCTGTGTTTTGCTGTTATTTGTCATTACAGGTCCTAAGATGCCATTGGCCCGAGTTCGAGTTCTGTTGTGCGGGCATAGTTATGTTTTTCGGGCTGCCCAATATGCCAGTTGGACCAGTTGGGATTGCAATCTGGGCCTCGGAGTTGTGGCGGCAGTGGAATGGAGGGGACGGAGAGGCATGCTCTGGGACGGATTCATGGAACTGGCATCCCAGGGTTCTCCGGATGTGCAGCCTGGCATTCTGGTGACTCATTTGGGAGGCAAGAACTTAGCCCAAAGGTCGGGCAAGTCACTGATCCTCCAGGTTATTATGGCTTCAAAGCTTTGGCAGTACAGCGCCCCAAAATGCGTATTATCTGGTCAGCGATTATTCCGCGGCTGGTGTGGAGAGGCGCT